GAGGTTTCACAGGTACCTGGGACCAGATTACAGGAGGCCTTGCAAGCCATGGAAAGAATTTTGGATTTAGTTTTCAGTGGGGTGGGAAGTCATTGGTGGCTTTAGAACAGAGAATTAAGTGATCAAAGATATTTGTAAAGAATCATTTTGGCTTGAGAAACTAGATTTGGGGGCCAGGATGGAAGCAGGCATATCAGTTAGGAAGCAATTACAATTATCCAGTGAAGAGATAATGGGGGTTTGGCTTAAGGTAGGCTCTGCAGATGCGGTGACAATTGTTCTGATTTATAATCAATGAGGAGAGGTGGTGCAATTGATGGAGGGGTGGTAGTAATGTATGAAATGAAATGACAGGAGGTGAGATGCTTGAATTGAGACTTTTGAGGGGCTGCAGTGGTAAAAATATGGTCTGGGGTCTGGTTTAGGGAGGAGATGGCTGAGGTGGAGTAGATGACCAGACATTGGGGAGCCGAAGGACAAGAAAGTAAGAGGCCAGGGTGCTGTGCACATGAGGCTGGGTAATGACAGCAGCAGTGGAGAAGATGACAGCAGCAGCAGAGAAGATGACAGCAGCAGCCAGGAGCCCATATCTCCAGTGAATAAGGGGATATCTGGGGGGAAGATGGATAACGTCAGCAATGAGGAAAAGTGGGTGCTATAGTCCCATGGCTTGTGCTTCAAAGGAGCTGGGTTTTTAAACATACAATCTCGTGTTCTACATGTTATATTATACTTGCTATATTTCAGTAGATCATATTTCATGTAACATAGCATATGTTGTATATTTTCTAAAATACAGATATTATGTATCTGTATAAAATGTACAGAATTATACATATATTTATCTATATATAGGATGCATGGTGAGCGTGAAATGAATGCAAAGCTAATCTTAACAGAAATATCATCCAAGCCAGGAAAACTCCTAAAGAACCATCTGCTCTATGACAGAAAAGCTCTCTTTAGTAACCTAAAAGATAACATCCTGAAGGTCTCTGGATAAATACAAAATTCTTTTGCTCCCATTGCCCCTTTCTCGTTGTGCGATAACTGCCTCTGCCCACACCCTTTTCTTAACATATTAAAGTTCAGCTCTGGCTATAGTAATTCCAGATCTCCTCAGGCACACTTGCACAGAACCTCTCTTGGGCATTTTCTACAGATGATTTAGATGATCACAGACAGCAACAGGTGAGGGAATCATTTATTGAGATAGAGGAGAGGAGGGTGGAAGGGGAGGAAGAGAGTACCTGTTGCTGTCTAGATGGAGGCGTCCAGCAGGTATCTGGAACTCTCGTGAAAGTTATGGGCTGGCAATAAGCATCTGTGCATTATTAGCTCATTCCTGGCAGTTGAATTTGTAGGTGTAGAGGAGAAAAAACAGGAACAGTATGGAGAGTAAGGAAACCAAGAATAGGCACTCAAGGTCAGCAGCATTTAAGGAGTGATCAGAGAAAACTAGCCAGGAAAGCAGAGATTGGGGAAGAACAGAGCATTTCAAAAGGAGAGATACCAACAGTGTTGCATTCCACAGAGTGGTCACATGAGGCCTGAAAAGAGCCCGGGCTTGGCAGCGTTGGAGTCATGACAACCTTTGTCAGGGTAGTTTCAGAGAAGAGGCATGGGTGGGAGGATGGGAGTGAAGGCACCAGTTGCTGCTTACTCTTTCTGGGAGTTTGACTCCACGGGAAAGAGAAACTAAAAGCAGTAGCAAAGGGCATGTGTTTGAAGTAACTGCTGTGAGGAAGGGTCAGGGCAGCCAGCCCGGTGAGCGGCCCCAAGGCCTTGCTAAGTGAGATTGGACACTACAGATTTGTAATGTCACCAGTCTGCACAAATGGATAATTTCCTCCAGGAGTGCTCAGCCACTCAGTTGTAATGACAGATATGTAGATCGGAAGTAGAGTATGCTCAGGATGCACTCTACAGAAACAAAGAGGCATGTTTATTGAAGTCGTGGCAAGGAATAATTAAAATGGCATACTATTGCCGTGTTGTCCAATATTAAGCCACTAGCCATAGATGATTAAATTCCAACTAATTGAAATTAAATAAGACTTAAAATTCAGTTTCTCAGTCATACTAGATACATATCAAGTGCTCAATAGCTACAGTGGCTGGTGGCTGCCATATTGCTCAGCACAGCGAAAGAACATTTCCACAAGGAGTTACCTTGGAAAACACTGTGTAGACTAGATAAAGCTGAGGTCTCAATGAAGCTGAACAACAGATGTAGAGGTAGTAAGCACAAGCAAAACCTGAAGAAATAGCAGCAGGTGGTAGACAGAGATGAGCATATTGAGATTAAATTTCTGGGGGTTGGGCAAATCCAGTTGTTAGGTGGCCTGAGTTCTGGGGTCATAATAGGGGAGACCTGAAGCTACTGAGGGAAAACAGATCTTGAGCAAAATCTTCCCCAGATGGTCAGAGAGGGGATTAGCAGGATGCCCCATTGCCTAGCTCTGAGTGAGATCATGGAAGCCAGTGGTTGGTGAAGAGCTACAAAGGGTAAGTTGTGAAATACTTTCAGTTCCACTCAGAAGGGGTTTCAGAGTGATTTCCACCCCATGTTGAGTAGAAAAGGTGGTGGGAGGAACCAAGGGAAACGAATTTGTCCCGTCATTTGCTAACCACTCCGGAGACAGAAGCAGAGATTCTGTACAGCAGCTGCTCACATTGATGCTCTGCTCTGGTTGAAATGCAGATTCTGACTCGGTAGGTCTTGGGTGAGGCCAGAGATTCTGCATTTCAGACCAGCTCCCAGGGGATGCCAATGCCATTGGTCCATAGGTCACAGTTACAGTTGGTAGTTAGAGAGGGGAGCAGTTCGATGGGTGGAAGAGAGAGCCCTTGTAATCTGGGGAGAATGGGCCTGGTTCAGAGAAGTTGGTCTGTGAGTAAAGAGAGTAGTGGGAAGGAGGGAAGGTACTGTGAGGGTCTGCAGAGGAAAAAAAAAGTAAATCAAGAAGCCTGAAGGCAAAGGGCAAAGTGATTTCTAGGTCCAGAAGACACAACTGACAGCTGAGTAATAACTTAACATCGAACGTTAATTGGCAGAATTTTCAACTCTGTGTTTGGTTTCTCCATTAGGTCATTTGCCATGTATCATAAAGCAAATTAGAACTAAAACAGAATTTTTCCCAGAGACAGTGCTAGAAGCTTTTACAGTAGGTGGCACTCTTGCATTACATTAAGAGCTTAGCAAAGAGAAGTAGAAACCTGGAATTTGCCTTGTAAGGTAATTACAGACTATGGTAAATCTTCCTTAGGGCTCCCTTTCACTATCTGAGTACCTACATAGATTTTTTCCTTCTCCCTCCCACATAGGCGTGCATCCTGTGCAGATGGTGTGTTTTATTCTTCAAGGGCTTCCCGGGGTTCTAGTGAGTGTAATGCAATAAGCAGTGGTTCAAATTTATGCCAACTTTCACCGATGCCTGGAGTCTGCTTCCCTTAGAGTTCAAGACCACCACCAAACCCTTGATTATGTGTTCTGGAGTCAACTGAATTTCTCCCCCATCAAAACCACTTTGAGGCCCGGTGTGGTGGCACCCCTGTAATCCTAGCACTCTGGGAGGCTGAGGCGGGTAGATTGCTTGAGGTCAGGAGTTCGAAACCAGCCTGACCAAGAGCGAGACCCCGCTTCTACCATAAATAGAAAGAAATTAATTGGCCAACTAATATATATAGAAAAACTTAGCCGGGCATGCTGGCGCATGCCTGTTTGCCAGCTACTCGGGAGGCTGAGGCAGCAGGATTGCTTGAGCCCAGGAGTTTGAGGTTGCCGTGAGCTAGGCTGACGCCACAGCACTCACTCTAGCCTGGACAACAAAGCGAGACTCTGTCTCATAGGAAAAAAAACAACACTTTCAATGAAATTCCTCTCATCTCTCTTACCAACCCATCCCCTCCCTTATTGTTAACATCCCTTCACTGAAATCCTGAATGATGAAATTGTGTTTAGAACTGACTCTAACTTCCTCCCTAAGGTGGCAGCTACCTTGATGTTAACTAAGAAACAGCATTCCCACCACCCATGCCCTGTACTTCTTACCCACCACGACCTACTTTCTTTGCCAAGCCTCGAGTAACTGTATACATTTTCTGAGTTCAATCACATTTAAGGAGTTGGGAGGCCCAAATTCATCTCACAAACTGCAATATGCTCTCAGGAACCAAAGCCTTTCTCTGAACTCTTCCAGCATGTTCCCTGTAGGTTGTGAAAATTTCCAGGGGCAGCATATACTGGGAGCAGCAAGCTCGTAGTGCCTGGGTTTTCCCAATACTCCTAAAGCACATTGTCAACTTCCCACCTATGATTCACTTCCAGCATTTCATTCATGTGCCTTAAATGATCTCTGACAGCCACAATCCCAAAAGAACCATCATGTTTGCCCAGTTCTCTTTCTGACCCCTGCGAGAGCTCAGAGAGGTCACTGAGAATAGAGGCCTTGGTTCACTGTTTGAGGCATTTCCAAACCAGCTGACATCCTTAGAGGTGCTTGCCATGGGAGCAGCAGCTATGGGGGATGTTTGAATTTCAAAGATATTACTCAATGTGATCCCCAATTAATGAGGCATAATAGAGAAGAGCTATCAAATGTATTACTGCTGTCAGCAATCTTTTCAACACAGCAGGTGGTGAATGAGTTGTCTAACTCTGCTGCTTTTCCCAATTCTAGGATTTAAATTTATAGAACCCTAGTACTAGAAAGACCTTTAGAACATTTAATCTCCCCCTTCATTTAACAGATGAGGAAACTGAGACTTATAAAGGTTGCAGTTTACATAAGGTCATATGTTCAGTTAGCAGTGATGCAAGGACAGAAGTCCTGATCTCCAGGTGCCTAGCATATTTGCACAGTTCCAGAGCTTATTATCTAGTCCTTCAATATCATTACTGATAAGATAGCATCTAGGTATTGTGTAAAGATAAATGAAGTTATTTTTATTCTACCCTCTTGCTTCTCCTTCCCTGATCCCTACTTTTCCTTTTTTAGGTGCTTCTTCCCTGAAGATTAAGGCTTATTTCAATGAGACTGCAGACCTGCCATGCCCATTTACAAACTCTCAAAACCTAAGCATGAGTGAGCTGGTGGTGTTTTGGCAGAACCAGGAAGCATCAGTTCTGTATGAGCTATACTTAGGCAAAGAGAAACCTGACAATGTTAATCGCAAGTATATGGGCCGTACAAGTTTTGATCGGGAAAATTGGACCCTGCGACTTCACAACGTTCAGATCAAGGACCAGGGCTCATATCAATGCTTCATCCATCACAAAAAGCCCAAAGGAATGATTCTCATCTATCAGATGAATTCTGACTTGTCAGTGCTTGGTATGTGGTCAATGGTGTGTTCTGATTCTTGACTTTCTCAAATGAGACTGCAAATGAATAGGGAAACATTCAAGTTGGGGGAGAGGAGGTTTGAGGAGCCCAGGGGAGAAGGAGGCCTATACAGAGAAAGTTCTCTAACAGCCATTTCTGGGGAAGTCCATTTGAAGGGAGTTCAGAGTCTGGAAGTAGAGAACTGAAAGTCCTTTGTACTTTTCATAGTCTGCTTCTAAAGGATCAGTAAGAATCTGCTCTGGAGACAAAACAGAGCTAAGTAAACAAAGGTAATGTATATGGCTAAGGGAAAACCATGGGTAATTTGGCCATTACTAAGTTTATAGAACCATGTAGGCCTCAAATCTTTTACATTCATTTTCTCCTATGGTCCAAGATTTTTCACCTTCTAAATCTTTGCCTGGAACTCCTAGGAAGGGTGACAGCTGACTGATTTGGGTTTTCCCTGCAGCCTCCTATAGATTGCTTATGAGTTGTGTGCTGCTACAACCATTGGCCTGGTAGACAGAAGAGAAATAACCCAACAAACATAGTCCCACAAACTGACAAACCAGCTCCTCTGCTTCACCAGACTTTAAAAGGTCTAACTGTCACTACAGATTTTTTTAAACAGTAAAATTAATTTTTTGTTTTGGTATACAGTTCTATCAGTTTTATAGATTACATATAGATTTACGTAACTACCATTATTAACAGGATATAGAACATTCCGATCACCCTAAAAAATTGCTTCATGCTATTCCTTTATAGAGTCATACTCTCTCTGTATCCATAACCCTTGTTTTGCACCCTGTAGTTTTGTCTTTTTGAGAATGTCACAGGGAGCCATACAGTATATAACTTTTTAAGACTGGCTTCTTTTATTCAGTATGCCTTTGAGATGCATTCAAGTTGTTGCTTGTCTCAAAAGTTTGTTTCTTTTTATTGCTGAGTAGCCTTTTATTGTTTATCCATTCAACTCAACAAAAGACATTGGGTTGTTTCCAGTTTGGGTCCATTATGAATAGAGCTGCCGTGAACATTCATGTGCAAGTTTTTGTGTGAATTCAAGTTGCCATTTCTTTAGAGTAGATACCAGCATGGTATTACTGGATCCAAGTTAATTTCTGATGAAACTGGAAAATGCAAATCCATGTCTATTCTGAAACCACAGTGTAGAACACAAGCAAAAGTAGAAATGGAATGGAGAGCTGCTCCCTTGAACCCTATGTGATTCAAACCAGGCTGCAGGGCTTTTGAAACATTTAACTAACTGCCAAATCAGTGTTTTCAAAATGTGGCCAGGTACTATTGGAAGAACATAGTATATTTTAGGTGGGACACAGATAAACATTTTTAACAGTTTTATGATTGTTTTAATGTGTATTATAAAAACTATAACTACCTTATACCAACCTGTGATTTCACAAATATTGCTAATAAGGCTAAATAAGGTCTGAAAACCCAGCTTCTGTAGGCCACATGAAGTATAAGAAGAATGCTCAAATAGTATGTTGATAAAGGAAAACCTGTAAAGATGATATGCAATGATTGACATTTTAGAAACAACATACTAAATTATAAATGAGTATGTAGTACCTGTAAACTTCCTAGTTACTATAGAAGAGCAAGAGATTTAGTTGGCAGAAGGTACATGAGCCAGGTCTAGGGGCAAGGTGCCAATAATCCTCAACCACTAGAAAATATGAATGGCAAACGAGGGCAAGAGAAGCAGTGTGTTCATCAAGATCATGTATTTTTCCCTAAAATGACTGGATTTGGCCTTCATCTTATAGCATGTTATGAAGATGCCTTGACTGGTGAAAGACCAGTATTCTGAATTTCTAAACCCAAAATCCCCACCCACTCACCTACCACCATCCTGTGTGGGTTTCTGAAAGGTATGACCCAGAGCAAGCTAGCACCATGAATTTGGTTACTTTCTGGTGAGATTTTAGCTTGTCCCTTTCTGCTCTTAATCTGGTGAACTGGAATGTACCCAGTGGGAACCTAGACCCTAGAATCAGCCCACTTCTCCTTTCAAAGGCTCTACTCCCTGAAATAGTGTCTTCATTGTAAATCTTTGGTGACTTGGTTTCAGCCTTAGCTGTCACTCAGAGAGCACTCCCTTGATTTGGATAATCAGGAAGCAAGCATGGCTCAAAACTCTATTCTTTAAAAATAAATGTGAGGTCATTATGTGGCTCTCACATTGAAGTGAGGCCCACATTTTAGATTCCCTGGGGCTCCCAGGTGTTCCCCAGTGAGCCCCAGATCAAGTATCTAATTATTTTCTGTTCTCTTCTAGATATATCTAAACTTAGACTGATTGGTTTTTTTTTTTTTTGTATCTTTATTCTGTTTTCAGCTAACTTCAGTCAACCTGAAATAATAGAAATTTCTAATATAACAGAAAATTTGTACAGAAATTTGACCTGCTCATCTATACAAGGTTACCCAGAACCTAAGAAGATGAGTTTTTGGCTTAAAACTGAGAATTCAACTACTGTGGATGATGGTGTCATGCACAAATCTCAAGATAATGTCACGGAACTGTACAACGTTTCCATCAGCTTGTCTGTTTCACTCTCAGCTGTTACAAGCAATATGACCATCATCTGTGTCCTGCAAACTGAGCCAATGAAGACAGAGCTTTTCTCTTCACCTTTCTATATAGGTAAAGCCACTTCCCAAGACTATTTCTTTCATCAGATATTATACACAAATGCTGAATGCAGGTCATCCAGTGCACCCTGCTTGTTAGGAAACCTCCAATGGGGCCATTTTATGTTGCTGTTAGGAAAGACCCAGCTAGAGGGCTCCTGCTTCACCCAAGTAATGTAGAGACCTTGGTTAGGAAATGCAGGATCCTTCCAGGCTAGAATTCTTCTGTTAATTAAAACACACACACACAGGCATGCACGTGCACACACACACACACACACACACACTATATATGCATCACACACACACACCATACATGCATACATACAGTACTTGTTAAGAGTACAGAACCATTCTAGACATTATTGGTTGCAGGGGTGAAAAGTAAAAGGTGTAAAACATCCTCTCTGCCCTTGAGGACCTTCCTATAGAATCAGAACTCCATGATGGAAAACTGGATTTTAAAAAGGTTAAACTGGAATCTAAACTATATTCCATGGAAATATTTGACTAAATTTAAAAACAAAAGCAACTAAAAGTTTTATGGGCATTCAGAGGCAGGCAAGATCCTTGAGGGTCGGAGAAGGCTTCCTAAAGGAAGGGGGACCTTATAACACCACAAAAGAAATTGTTGGGATTGATAAGTGAGAAGACATTCTAGATGACGGGTTTCCCAAATTTCAGTGATTTCCTAAGCAGAAAAATGTTGAGACACTATCTGGGCTCTGCAGGTAAGAGGACCACAGTGGATAGCCATATCTGACATAAGTGCAGGAGGTGTGTCAAAGCAAGACTCTGAGGCAGAAATGCTTGTGACATGTTCATAATGTGCGGCGGGGACCAGTTCACTGGAGGAAAGGGTTGAAAATAACCAATGACCACTAATAGGAGCCTGACATTTTAAAGTCCTGGCTTTGCCCCAGAGGGCATATATCCAGATGTGAGACTTTCCTTTGGAGAAGCAATAACTGTAAGAATCCCTCCTGGAATAAAGGTCCTCTGCACCCACCCTGCCCTGTCACTGGTTGTGGTTGACCTTGACCCCTGCATCTGCCTTCCACTTGCCTTGGCCCCCTTTCCAGCCCTGACTGCTTGGCTTGCCCATTCCACTGACATCCATCCAATTTCTCACTCCATCTCCAGGTGTCTCATTGTTCAGACAAAACTTGGCCTATGGACATACTCTATGGACAGCCCCTGGGGCCAGTCCACATGAACAAACTTTAAGACTATGCTAGCCCCCTCTCCTGGAACTGATTTCCTTCCACTCAGACATCTCAGCCTATGGGAGTCCAGTAAATGGGAGAACCACCCAACCTATACCAGTTGCTTCTACTGTTGCCTCTCTTGGCCTGATAGAAGCCTCTCCAAGCTACACCTGAAGCTCAGTACCTTCTTATAGCCACTGATAATACCATATATAACTTGCCCCAGCACCCTCTGCTATGGCTCCCGCAGTCTACAAGTGAGCATGGGCTAGCCACGACTCTAGCCTCATCACAGTTCCCCTTTCTGCTGTTTCTCAACTCCTGTGCGGCCAGAACTCCCTGGGTACCACCAACTTCACAATATTTTAGCTCTAGCTGCCTCAGGAAAGGGCTTGCCTCTCTAGGTCCATATTGTATGGCTTGATAAGAGATAGGTTAGACTCTGAGTCAAGGAACCTTTTGGGGTGTCAAAAGGTAACAGTCTCCATGTTAACAGGTATAACCCCTTTACTGGGAATGCCAAACAGGCTCAAGTGGAAAAACTAGGACACACTCAAAGGGGACTGAACATGGCCTGCAATACCAACAACTCCTTTTCTTTATGTCCCAGGATCAGGGCACTTGTCCACAAATTGTAGCTAAGCTAACAGATTACCTGATTATATTTTTTCTATAATTTAGGATTAACTTCCAGAACTGTTCCCAAAAGTTTCTATAAAATGGGAGACTCAGTTCTAAGTTTTCTCTATAAAGTCTGTTTCTCAACTTCCAAGAAACTTAGGAGTTTCCATGCAAACAGGTCCATCCTGACCTCCAGGGAGCTGATTTTGACCTTGCTTCCTCAGGGCAGGAAGAAATATCAAAGGTTTTCTAGTAGGGCAGACACGCAGAAAGCCATGGGGAGGAAGTCTGCTGTGACCTCACTGGAAAAACAAACAAACAAGCAAAAACTGGACATAGGGGCCAGTGAGGAAGCTGTCCTATTTGTCTAAGTGAGAGGCGTGTGGAACCTGATCTGGAGATGGTAGTGGACACAGGACTTATCACAAGGGTAACTTCAGGACATGCAGACTGACTGCAGAGGGGCTGGATAGCAGACACTGCACAGATAGCTGTACATTCACAGCCTCAGCACAGACGCCTTACCCAGATTCCAGAATCATGGGGCCAGGCTGACCCTCTTCTTCCAGATAATGGTCAGTGTCATTCCCACCTCCAAGAAGGGAAGGCAACTCAGTCCTGGCATTTGGCCAGAAGCACAGGCCTAGATCTTAGTTAGCTGCTGAGGCCCTGAAACTGGAACTTTCTATGGCTTCATATTGTAGATTTTAGGGTCCTCTCGCCGTAGAGCACTGGGAAGATGCTGGCAGGTAATTAAAGAGAAAAGCAGCTAATATAAACTTTTTGTAAACAACTTTCCTGACTGGTTGAAAACTTGTGGTTATTTCTAGATCCTAAGGACCCCCAGCTCCAGCCCCCAGATTACACCGTCTGGATTGCAACAGCTATAGCTCCATTGGCAATTGGACTTCTGCTGATAACCTATCTTATTAGGCAGAAGAGGAAGAAGAAGAGGCAACCTGGTGTCTCCAATGAATGTGGTGAGTCAGTCTTTGTCCTCCTTGCAGGTTGCCACTTTGCAGCTACTTCCCAGTCAGCTGCCTTATAGAGCTGGTTGGCCGAGCCCAGACTGGCCAAAAGTCAGCAAGTTGTCAGAGGAAAAGGTTTTCCCTCAGGGTTCAGAGGCTATGTAGACTGGACTCAGCAGCTGATAATGTTTCTCTTGAACTTCAAAGAAAGGAAACATTTCTAACCTAAGTGCCACAAATGCACTTCTGGCCTCCAGGCAAAGCTGATTATTACATGCTTTCTCTACCTCACTTTATGAGGTTATTGTGACAAATCAGTAAGGTAAAATGATGAAAATATTAACACTTCTAAATGTTAGAGATTATGCACCTGGTGGTATTTGCTAGATGACTGTAAGATTCACCTTCTCATCTCTAGGTTTCCTGTAAAATACGTTAGCTGAATTGTTCCCAATTGACTTGTAAAAAATAGTGTTAACTTTTACTGATTACCAGGTAATACATATCCATTATCAAATAGACCAAAAATAAAAATCACCTACAATTCTACTAGTAAGAAAAAAATAATTATATACACAACATTTTGGTGCATATTTTCGAGATTTTTCTATGTATAAATCTGGTATTTTCCATAATTGGCATAATATTACAAGGGCTATTTTTCACAATTTTGATAATATCATATGTACTCTTTCCCAACTTTGTTGTATTAACTGTAGCAAGACAATTTTCAATGTCATAAATATTCTACAGTATCATTTTAAGTGGCTACAAGATATTCCATTATGTGGATATACCTTACTTTATTTCTTTAACCAACCCCAATTGTTGGACATTTGGGTTGTTCTGAAAGTTTTGCTATTATAAATAGCCTCCCCACTGACTTCTGTTGTAAAAGTGTTTAATGGGAACAAAGTGATTCCTGAATTCATAATAACCCCATGCCTATTTGTGGTTTGGGCAAGGTTCTAAGATAAGATTGGATCGAACTAGGGGACAGCTGGCCAGCAAGGAAATGAGATCTCAGTTTTACAACCATGAGGAACTGAATTTTTGCAATGGACAGATGTTGAAGCAATCATAATCCATCCACAGAGACACAAGCTTAGTGAAACTAGTAGGAATTTCTCCCCAAATGGAGCTTCCTCCTAATCCAACATTTATCTTTTTCTAAGAAGAGACAGCCCTCAAACTAACTAACCTGGCATCAAAGGTCCTGTCCACTGTTTGTTGATTAATTATAGTTTTTTATGCCCCAACTACACACATTTAACCTGCTCATGGTGTTTAAATGAATAAAAGGGAAATTTATGGTTTTTCTAGCTGGTTTCCAATCTCTCTTCTCCTTTTTTGTTTTGCCAAATGGGGTAGATAACACATGAGAATTTGTAACTATGAATTACTGTTTTCTCCAAATCAGAAGTCAACTATCAGTTTGCCCATTGGGGAGAAAGACAAAAATAGCTCCTCCTGAAATTTTACTTCCTCATTTGGGCCTTGTGTGACTGAAATGTGTATATAATAATGCCCTAGGAACCAACAGTTTGTACAACTTGCCTCTCTAGAACAAACCTAAAGGAGTCTCAACTCTTTCAGGAATGATTTTTCAAAGGTCGAGTATCTTTTCCAAAATAAATAATTTTTAACTAACATTTAAATGGAAACAACCCTTCATAGGGCTTAAAAACTGAAAGTTGGTGATATCATCACATTTGCCCTTCAGAATGCTAAATTTGTAATCAAATCCAAAAGTTTAGAAGCTGCTTTTTTATTGTCTGTTTTCATTTTTAAAAAGAGGGCTTTTAAAAAAAATATGATGATGCTTTTGTCACGGATGTGAAAGGATAATTTAATTATTCTGTGTTGGTCTACAGACATCTGAAATACTATGTTCAGCTCTAATCACCATTATTTTTAAGAGAAATATTGAATATATAACCTAACCAGATTTATAAAGTATCTAGGAGCTCAGCCAAATAAGAAATGGCTCAACTAACTGAGGCTGTTTCACTTGAAAGAAACCCTGGGGGGCACATAAGTGTTGCCTTCAAATATCTGAACAGCAATAGGGTGAAAAGCCAGAACTTGACCGTGTGGTTCCAAAGGGCATCTGAACGAATGAAAGTTATGAGAAGGTAAAAAGAAATAAGAGAAATTTTTCTAATAATTAAAGCTCTTTTAAAATTGTACAGAAGAAATAAATTTCTGCTGCCTCCCATAAAGGATTAACTGCTATAGGAATTTCCCTCCTTCCGTAAACAGATAAAATATATCAAACAACAGTTTTCAGATATTGGACGACAAGCAGGCAGTGGACAATTGTCGTCCCTGAAAGAAGGAAAAAGATGAGGTGAGCTCTCTGATTGCCCCGACTTACTGCCTGGAGTTGGTGTCCAGGCTTCTCTGAAGGTAGGGGAGCCTTGATACCAAAACTAGAAAAAGACACGACAAGAGAAGAAAACTACAAGCATCTCTTGTGAATATAGATGCCAAAATCCTTAACAAAATTAGCAACTAAAATCTAGCAATATATTAAAAGTATGATACATCATGACCAAGTGAGGTTTATTCCAGGAATGTAGGTTAAGCTCAACATTCAAAACTCAGGAAATTAATTTCACCATCTAAAAAGACTGAAAAGAAAAACAATATGATCATCTCAATTGGTACAGGAAAAGCTTTTGACAAAAGTAATACCCATTTATAATTTTAAAAAGAAAGAAAAACTCTTATAAAAATGGGAACACAAGGGGACTTCCTTAACCTGGCAAAGGACATCTACCAAAATCCTTCTGTTAATGACAAAAGACTGATTGCTTTCCCCCTACGATTGGGAATAAGGTGAGGACGTCCACTCTTCTTACATTTGTTCAACATTTTACTGGAGGTCATAGCCAATGCGACACAGCTAGAAAACAAAATAAAAGGCTTACAGAGTGGAAAGAAAGAATTAAAAGTGTCTTTTTTCACAGATAACATGATCATGTTTATAGAAAATCCTAGGAAATCTATTTTTTTAAAAGCTCTTAGAATTAATAAATGAATGTCCAAAGTCATACGATACAAGGTCAATACACAAAATCAATTATATTTCTGTATACTAACAAACAATCAGACACTGAAAAAAATTTAATTACATTAATAGCATGCTAACAGCAGCATCAAATAATAGTAAAGGCTTGGAAATACATTTAACAAAACAAGTTCAAGATCTGTATACTGAAAACTAAATAACATTACTACTGATAGAAATTAAAGTATACCAAAATAAATGGAGATATATGCCATGTTCATGAATCAGAAGACTTGATATTGTTAAGATATCAGTTCTCCCCAAATTGATTTATGGATCAAAGCAATTCCAATCAAAATCCTGGCAAGTTCTTTAGTAGAAATTAAAAAGCTGCCTCTAAAAGTTACATGGAAATGAAAAGAACCTACAATTGACAAAAGAATTCTGAAAAATAAGAACAAAGATACAAAGATGGATTTAAACTACGTAATGCTAAGATTTACTATGCTGTTATAGTTATTTACTATGCAGTTAGTAATCAATATAGCATGATATTGGTGAAATGACAGACATATCAATCAATGGGACAAAATAGAGAGTCAAAAAATAAACTAACATAATTAACTAATTTTGACAAAGGTACCAAGGTAATTCCATGCAGAAAGGATACTCTTTTCAACAAATGGTGTTGGAACAATTGATATGGAAAAATATGAACTTAGATACACACAAAATAACTTAATGTAGATCACAAACCTAAATATAAAAACTAAAATTAAAATAATTCAGAAAGAAAACATAAGAAAAAATCTTTGTGATCTTAGATTAGTCAAATATTCTTAGATAAGACACAGAAAGCACAAACCATATCATAAAAAGATAAAATTGATAAAATGGAATTCATCATTATCAAAAACATTTACCCTTTGACTTTGTTAAAAAAAAAAGAAAAGAAAAGTCAAGCCACAAACTGGGAGGAAATGTTTATAAAATATATATGATAAAGGACTTGTATACAGAATATATAATTATATATTACTGCTCTGTAATAAGAAAATCCATCCAACAAAAGGCAAGAAGTAAAAGACTTGAAAAGATACTTCCAAAAGAAGACATACAAATGGCCAATAAGTACAGTCACACAGTCACAACATCATTAGTAATCAGGGAAATGCAAATTAAAACTATAATGAGATACCACTATGTGCCCACTAGACCGAGTAAAATCAAAAGGGCTGATAAATATCAAGTGTTGGAGAGTATGTGAAGCAACTGAAACTCTGATGCACTGCAATACAATCAGCAATCCTAGACATTTACCCAAGGGAAAAAAATTGTAATGCCTAAATAAAGACTCACACACAAATGTCTATAACACCTGTCTTCATAATATCAAACCTGGTATCCTAAATTTTCATTAATTGGTGAATGGATAAACAAATGATGGTACATTCATACAATGAAATACTGCAATTCTATAGGAAGGAATGGACTACTGGAAATATGCAACAAGATAGATGAATTTCAAAAGCATTATGCTAAGTGAAAGAAGACAGGCACAAGAATACTACACATTTTATGATCCCATTTATATGAAATTTGAAAAAAACAAAACTATTGTGACATTAAGCAGATCAACAGTTACCATGGAAAGGAGTGGGGGCATTTAATTGCAAGGGAACATGGGAGGGGGGAGGAAAGGATGGGTAAATTCACACCTAAAGGGTACAATGCACACTATCTGGGTGATGGACACATTTATAACTTTGACTCAAACTGGACAAAAGGAATTCATGTAACCAAAATGTTTGTACTCCCATAATATTCTGAAATTAAAAAAAATTTTTAAATGTCATGGCAAAACCACCATAATCAATGTCAAAATTCAAATAATAAACTGGGAAAAATATTTTTTGAAAAAGACATTTTACTTCCTTTTCTAGTGGAAATAAATTCTTACTGGTACTTATATACTGCCACTAATCACTATTGAAAAACAAAATGGAACGGGAGGAAACTTTTTGAGCTTATGTAAATGTGCTCTATCTTGATTGTGTTGGTGGTTACATGGCTGTATACGTTTGTTAAACTCACCAAACTATGCTGAAAATAACCGAATTTTATTGTTTATTAATTATACATCCATAATGCGGATTGTTTTTAAATATACTCCTACATAAAAGAGAACTGCCAATGATAGGAAGTGTTCAAGATGACTCTATTTAGTAAAGACTGAATCACAAAACTATCAAGGGTGTTGTTGAGAGGATTTCTTTGGGCACCCAGTTTAACAACCCCTACTGTGAGTCTCTGAATGGGACAATAGCACCATCACAATAGTCAACCCACAGGAATTTACAGCCCAAGTTGCATCGGTAGTAAGTCCCTATCAGTAGCAACTCAGGCTTTGGGAGATATAGCTGGCTAGAAATTTCCCACTTGGGCCTATCCATGCAACATTGTGTAGTATTTTTAGCATCATCTGACTAGACATCAGCATCTTCCATATTTCTTTTCCTCCTCCTTCTAAACCTTGCTTTCAGAGGATTGGAAACTCTTTTCCAATCACTAAATGATTGCTAAAACAAAATGTATTACCCCTCCCAGAGGTATTTTTATTTTAGCAAGGATAGGGCTGTAAGTGAATAATCTGTTCCAACATTAGAATTTAAGGCACCATGAGCAAGGGAAGGCATTCACTTTTTGGATGAGAGGAACTCCTTCCCAATTCCCCTGAAATCACATCATTTAAGCAAATCTCTCTTCCATATATAAAGTCACAACAATTTCTCTCTGAGTCCCAGGACTTTGGAGCCTCTTCATACTTTCCCTCTTTTAGTATCTATGAGGAATACCTTTTCAGAGGTTGTTTTTGGTGTCTTTCAGAGATTCTCAAAATGGAGAGGGGAGAGAGTGAACAGACCCAGAAAAGGTGAGTCCTGACCCTGCAACATTGTTGAAAGAAGTATGATCCCTCTTTCAAGTTACAATGTCTCTACCTTGAACAGGCTTGAGCCTGAGGCATATTGAGACCTCAGCAAACACGAACGAATGAGGAGCGAGAGAAAAGTGAGACTAGTTAGGACCTTGAGAGAAATAACCTGTCTATAAATGGATGCCCAGAAAGCATGGCAGTCTCTGTCCTGTAAAAATCAATACTGAAGGGTTCTGATGTGGTGATCATGGACTGCATTTTATTCACCACAAGAACCCCAGTACCTAGCACAGTGCCTGGACTAGTGGGCATCCTACACGTGTGGAATGAATAAGTGAGGAGTGATGACATGTTCCCTTCAGCTTTAGCATCTTAGCACCTGCTGCGCCCTGTTTAAAACGAGCTTCTGCCAGTTCTCCGCCTCATTCTTCACTCTCACCTCAAGCAGCACTTTCTGTAAAACCCTTCCCCAAACTGGACCTTGTCCACCTATCACAGTGTCATGTGAATCAAGGGCTTTTTCTTCATAACACCAGATTGTACTTACATATTTGTTCAATTATCTTGTGAAACTCTATAAAATAGACTAAACTAAGCTTTATGGTGAGAAGAGACCGTATCAGTTAAGCTCATCTTCATGCTGCCAGCACCTAGCACAGTGCCTGGAATACAGTAGGTGCTCAATAAGTGTTTGTTGAAAGAATGAATAGTGCATGAAGTTTCAGGGTGATCAGTCCTTTCACAACTTGATATGGTCAGATCATCTGTACCTCCATTCCTTCTGAGGAATTGAGCTAACAAGAATATCAAGGCCACGTGGTCATGGGTCAAAGTAACCCTCATTCACAAGGCTGGTTGCAGAGACAGGTTCATGGCCCCAGGGTGCAGAGACCACGGAGTGCCCAGCACTTATCTGGATAAACCAGCGGCTGTGATTCTAGCAAGAGTAATTCCAAGCATCCTGAATGGCGAGCCTGGGTGCCGAGATCCTGCCTGCCCTAGCACACCCTATTCCAGAATTGGTCTGGAAGAGCCTGGGGAGGGCAGGCAGCAGGGAATCAGCATAGGGCGGGGCGGGGCCAGACGAAAATGAAAGGCAGTTGTTGAAGCATGGATGGCAGTGTAGACCCGGGAGGGTCCTTTTCTCCTGCCTTCTCCACCTCTCTCTTCAATAGTTTGTTTCTCCTCATTGCTGTTGCAATGGCCTCCTCTATTTTGCCATATCATTGAAATCTAGAAAAAGAAAGTGCTGTACTATGAAATCTCACTCAATCCTTTTTCCTATTTTTCCAGAGTAAACATCCATGTACCTAAAAGATCTGACGAAGAATTCCAGTGTGTTGTTAACAGTTTGGAGATAACCTCAGGCGACAAAAGTGCTACACATTTTTAATTAAAATGTAAAGTCTATACAAGTAGCCATTTTTTATACCTTTTCCTTTGCAAGTTTTTGGACAACCTTTTTGATTTCTCGGAAGGCAAGAAACTATTACTGTCAGTAATAGTGGGGGCTCCTGGACCCCCTCCAAGTGAAACAGCCTCCCTGTAACGCCGGCTCCGCGCCCTAAGCCGGGAACAGACTTTCATTCTCTCACTCTGTCTGTTCACTTCAGAGCACACTTGTGGGCCAAATCCACCTGGTTGTTCCTAGCCCGGGCATGATGTTCAGGACAAATACCTTCTGCTTCAGACCTGACTCTTCTCTTAATTCCATAAATTGTGTTTTTATATAGAACTCCCAGTTCCTGGCTTTTATCTGCCCGGAATTCTAAGGTGGAATACCTTCTGTACCTGTGACTGAACAACTACCTCTTCAGTCTGGATGGGAGTTATATATTTTATAATATATAGTGTTAATATTTTAAAATATAAAGCTTGCATAATAATGTAATTATTACATGCTAAAGAAAAGTCTGCTCCTGCTAAGGAACGCTTGTCCCTCTGCCGGGGTTGGGAAGGAAAACAGTGGGCTAAAGTACAGTCAACAGTGGGCAGACCAATGTAAATTTGGGGAAGTTAGGAGAGACGGAGATGCAACCAGCTCGGGATCCTGGAACCACTTCTATCTGGGCTGCTGCTAATATTGAGGGGGAATCTCCTGCCCAAAAATCCCTGGCTAGGCCGGGCGCGGTGTCTCACACCTGTAATCCTAGCACTCTGGGAGGCAAGGGGGTCGGATTGCTTGAGCTCAGAAGTTCAAAACCAGCCTGAGCAAGAGCGAGACCCCGTCTCTACTATAAATAGAAAGAAATCAATTGGCCAACTAATATATATAGAGAAAAAAATTAGCCAGGCATGGTGGCGCATGCCTATAGTTCCAGCTACTCAGGAGGCTGAAGCAGTAGGATTGCTTGAGCCCAGGAGTTTGAGGTTGCTGTGAGCGAGGCTGACACCACGGCACTCACTCTAGCCTGGGCAACAAAGCAAGACTCTGTCTCAAAAAAAAAAAAAAAAATCCCTGGCTGAAAGCACTGAATAAAAGGAAAGTGCTGGATCTTGTGAGTCCTATTTCTCTTCTAGAAAAGCTGACTGGGGTGATGGCTGGGGGCAGCTGTGAAAGAACCAGTAGAGAGATCACAGTACTCAAAAGAGAAAAAAGAAATGAGAGATCTCGACCCACAAAGAAACACATGGAATGTCGGGCCCGTCCAGTCCTTTGACGAGTCTTAGAACAAGCAACGGATGGACAGTCTGTCTAGGTGGTCTTAAGACAGACAACAATTTCCTTGGTGGTCGGGGAGGAGTTGTTGTGATGTCATCTGGCTGGGAGCTGAGCTGGGCAGGACAGCATCATCTGGATCCTGGGATGGATGGAAGGAGGCTTACGACTCTTCACGTCTGGCTGAGAGAGGAAGAGCTGGAGTAGAACTAGGAAAACCAGGACGCAGATCACCCAGATGCCTGCTTAGCCTGCAGATGTCCTAAGGCAATTTGGGCTGGCCCAGAGTAGGGTTAGCAAACTTGTGATTGAGGACTATTTATGCTCAAGGCAACCACAGGAAAACTGGGTACAGGAGAGGGATATGAGTTAGGAAACCTGCTCTAAGGTGGGAGCAGTAAGGGATGGAACAGCCTCAGTACAAACCTAGAGAGCTTTGGGAGGCCCAAGCCACAAAAACAGTTCTTTTTATTTTCCGTAAAGACCTAAAGGGCTGTAGACTGCTGTGCTAGTCACGCTCATCCTTGTAATTGTGCCATGTGTGCCCTGCCCCTGCCTTGTTAGACCTTAGCACCTGCTAGTTTCTAATGTTTTATGCAGAGCAGTTCTCAATAAATGTTTATTAAATGTATTTAAATGTCTATATTTTCTGCTTCCACTTCAACAATATTACTCAACCTTTGTCATGTGACTCTGCCCACTCTGTCCTCTGAATATACTTCCCTTCTCTTGACATCTTTATGGCTAGAAGCCTCTGACTCATCCCAAATCCTCTCCTCCCTTTCCCCAACCATTGTACAAGAATGGCGGCTTCTACATGTTTATCTCAGTGAGGAGACATAAAAATATCAAGTAAGAATGCTTGTGTCTGAGGACAATTAGGAAATTCAGAATAAGGAAGGTATACTTCCTTTTGAGTTTATAACGTCTTGTACTGTGTAATTTTTAAATTATGTGCTTATATGGACTTTAAACAAAAGCTTAATATTAAAATATTCCTTGAAGATACTGATTGTAAAATAAGTGGATACACACATATATACATACAGCATGTGGAAAGAGCCAGAAAAATTCTGGGGAACAGAAAACTATCTAGACCCTGTGAAGGCAGGCTACAGAGTGAGACTCTTGTCTCAAAAAAAAAAAAAAAAGATTTGCAACTTTTCTGCTGTATTTTTTAATTTCTGCTATTATGTTTTATTTCCAGAGCTCTCTCCTATCCTCTCAAAACATATTTGTTTAAAGACTGAATGAAATATTAACATGGCCTCTGGTGAAAACATCCCTCTTCTGTATATTAAATCTCTGACCTGCTGTGTTCCAAGTCTAAGGGAGAAAAAAAGCAAAACAAAAAAGTTGAAAGAAGTCATTAGGTATGAAAACAGTACTAGCTACCATTACTGTGTGGTTACCATGTGCCAGGTACTCATCTAGACCTTTAAACTCATTATCCTATCTAATCCTCACAATGACCCTGTGATGTAGGTAATGGGATATTATGCCCATTTTGCTGATGAGGAAATCTAAGCGCAGAGATGTGTCAAATAATTTACCCAATATTGTTAACTCTGTAAGTGGCAGAGTGGAAAGAATTTTGCAAGGCATCGTCCCCTCCACCCTTTTATTTCCCAGCCTTTCTTTTTCTGGCTATAAAAAAAGACAGCCTTTGGGTTGGCTGCGGGTTGAGCGCCTACCCCACATCGTGTGCTACATTCCCTTGGCCCCCCAAGGTGGTGCTTCCAGCAGACCCATCACTGAGCTTTGCATCAGCCTCTCCATCATCTTACAAGGCCAGACGCTGTGGATCATAAGACACCTGATAAGACCAGTGAAAACGAGACTTGAACCAGAGGGAAAGTGAACTGTGCATGCTGCCTCCAACTCCTTCCTCTCCACCCCTGCAACTTACTATTCTTTTACAATCCTCCCCACTCCCTCTGCCATTCCAAAGCCAGTTGCATTCACTCAGTGTCTTCACATTTGTTAACCCAGGCTTGAAGGCAAAGGGCCGTCTCTGACGGCTGCCCCTGCCTGACCTTTCCCTCAGCACCCACCGCCAGCCCCGCCCTCCTGCCATGTTTGGTCATCACTTGTCACCAGGCCAGGTAAGCATTCCTCCCACCTTAGTGCCCACTCCTTCTGTTCTCATTCAGGCCCTTACTTACTCATTCCTAGAACATGACAGTCATCACCCAATTGATCCCAGTCTCCTGTTTCTCTTACCCTGCATTCTACCCAAAACACCAGGAGAAGCAGGGAGGTAATAGTGAAAAGAAGATCTCCTTCACATTCCTTTTCCCTCACCACACAACTGTGACTCTGATCTCCAGCTTCCCACATATCCTTCCACAGATGCATTATGCCCATTTACACACACACACACACACACACACACACACACACACACACTTCCCATACTCAGGCAGATTTGGTTTAATTCTACCCCATGGTCTAAGGAAACCAGAATATTCTTGCTAGGATGATTGAGAGAAACACCAGTCTTCAGTGTAACCCTGCATATTAAAAATTCATGTCTTTATTGTATACATCCTCAGTCTCACCCATATGCTAGCATCATTGGGGATCTTATAATGAAAGCAAGGTTTCATTTGCTTTAATTGTGTCTATCTGTTCACTCCAGAAGAAAATTAACTTACAGTTATGGAGTGCTGCGCTGTCTTTAGACACAAATTTTCAAAATTGCTCCAATCTGGACAAGTAACACCCTAGGTCTAGCAAACTAGTCACCCTGATTGGGATCTACTATTTCCTGTGCTCCATATATTTGTCTTTCTTGAGTTACTCTCTTATTTTGGTGGTACATATCTTCCAGTAGCTTCCTCCAGTAGTTTTCTGAGAAAGGATAAATGAGGAATACATTTATTTATATTTTGTGTATCTGAAAATGTCTTTATCCTACTTTCCTGCTTAATAATTTGGCTTAGCATAGAAGTTTGGGTTGGAAATATAATGCTTCCATATAGCTTCCAGTGTTGCTGTTGAGAAATCTACAAATATTCTGACTCCTTATATTTTTATGTGAAAGTTTTCAGGATCTTCTCTTCAGTGTTCTGACATTTTTTCATGAAATGCCTGTTTGTCCACTGTGATTAACACTCAGGTGGCCTTTTCTATCTGGAAATTCATGTCTTTCCCTCCAGAGAAATTTTCTTGAATTATTTCATTGATTATTTTCTCCCTTCTATTTCTCTAGTCTTTCATTTTAGGATGTTGGATTCCTGAATGTTGGACCTCCTAGACTGATCCTCCTATTTTCTTATCTTTCTCTCCTGTTGTCCACCTTTTCATCTTTTATTCCATTTCTTAAAGATGTCCTCAGTTTTATCTTCCAGTCTCTCTTTTGTATTTTTTATTTCTGCTTTAATGTTTTATTTACAGAGCTTTTGTTTTTTGTTGTTTACTGAATGTTCTTTTAGCAATGAGTCTATTTTTAATGGCTACAATGCGATCTCTTAACTCCCTGAGGATGTTAATGATAGGTTGTTTATTTGTTTGTTTTCAAATTTTATCTTCCAAGTTCTTTCTTCCTGTTTGCTTTGGTCTATATCATCCGTGTTGCAGGATTTCTCAGATATCCAATGATCATTGATTGCCTGTTCATGAATAAGAGTGAGGAACTAAATATTTGTTTGAAGGAATCTGAGTTTATGGATAGGCTTGTCAACTTTAGCTTTACTGTAATGGCATCTGGAGCAGGACTTTTTTGGAAAATCATCTTTAGGTCTTTCTT